AAGTTTTGGGAATCCTTAGGCTTGGATTGGAGAGTGATTTGTGGTTTTAGCATTGTTTGATGTTATTCGAGGGTGAGAATAAGTTTGTATTATATTTTAGGATTGATTGGCATATTTGGTTGAGGTCCCGAGGGCCTCGGGTGAGTTTCGGGTGCTTAACGGAAGTTGAGTTGGACTTAGGAAAAATCCGAAGTTGGTTGGATCTATCATAACCACACCTGCATGCATGGGATCGCAGGTGTGGGCCCGCAGAAGCGATGGAGAAGCCGCAGATATGGGTGGGCATTTGGAGTTCTAAAGTCGCAGGTGCGAGAGCTGGAGCGCACCTGCGAGATCGCAGGTGCGGTAGAAGAAGCGCAAGTGCAACTTGGTGCTTTAAGTGAGTTCTCGCAGATGCGCACCTGGGACCGAAGGTGCAGGTACGCAGGTGCGAGAAAATGGCCGCAGGTGCGGAAACCCTGGACCATAACCTATATAAGGTTTCTGTCGCGATTTTAGCCTATTCTTTCACCATTTTATCCGAGAATTTGAGCTTTTGGGAGGTTTTTGAGAGAGGATTCAAGGGAGTTTCATTGAGGTAAGATTTGTGGAACCTAAATTCGTTATTATGGTATTATTCTAAAGATTTGGCAAGAAATTTATGGAAAATAAGGGTTAAATTTGGGGGTTTAGGGTTTGAAATTGGAGACTTGGATTTGGGGATTTGAGGGGTTGTTTGTGGTTCGATTTTGATGTATTTGGTATGCATTAACTCGTAAGAGTGTAAGGATTCTAGTTTTGTGAAATCTATCCGGTTCCGAGATGTGGGCCCGGGGGACTTTTTGGGCAATTTTCTTAATTTCGTGTGTTAGCTTCGAATTAATTAGTGAAATTAGTTACTTGAAGTTATATTTACATTATGCAATTACTTTGAATAGATTTGGGTCATTTGAAGTCGGGTACTCGTGGCAAGAACGTGATTTCGAGTTGATTGAGCTGATCGAGGTAAGTGACTTGCCTAACCTTGTGGGAGGGACAATGCCTTGTATGTGAGGTGACGAGTGCGTACATGTGCTAATTGTTGGAAATCCTGTTTTTATTAAGTAACTATAATTGTGTTTTCTTCCCTGTTTATGCTACAATTTAAGCCTACTGTTAGCTTAGGAAAGCATGTCTAAGTAACTTAATTACTTTACTTGTTCAAATTGCCTTATTTGAATTCTGTGCAGCATGCTAGGTTAGAATTCTTGTTTTACCTTGGTATGAAATTGGATTGAATTGAATATTGTTCGTGTTGCTGCTGTGTGCTTATTTTGGGACTACGAGCGATATCCTGATAGATCCCCTTTGCCTGTTTATTTGGGACTACGGGCGATATCCCGGTAGATCCCCCTTGCCTGTTTATTGGGGACTACGGATTGGTATTCCGGTAGATCCCCCTGCACATTTATATTGGAACTACGGGATTGCACCCGGTAGATTCCCCCGGTACTAGGCATTTACATTTGGGACTACGGATTGGTATTCCGGTAGATCCCTGCGCACTACGAGTTGGACTACAGGACGACACCCGGGAGATCCACTGAATATTTATATTTGGGGACTACAGGACGGTATCCTGGTAGATCCACGATTGCTATCTCTGTGTGGAGTTACGTTCTTTCTGTGATTTTCTCCCTGTTGTATTTGTTATTATTCTTATTATCCTGTATTACTTCATACTGTTTTATTTCTTTATATATNATTCTTCAGAGACTTCAAGGTATATCTGCCGCGTCCGCAGACTGAGGAGTCCCTCTCCATTCTCTCTTGTAGTTATAGCCCTTATGTATTTCTTTTGATTTAGACATTCTGGAGTTAGAACGCTATGTAGTATCTACAGCTTGTGATTTCATGAGATTTCGGGTTTTAGGAGTTGTTTCAGTTTGAGAGTTTATATTTGTATATGTCGAGCGGTATCTTAAATGTTTTATTATGTTTTATCCGCAGTTTTTGGCTAGTTTTATCATTCGTTTTCTTTCCCGCGATTTGTTAGGCTTACCTAGTCATAGAGACTAGGTGTCGTCACAACAGTTCACGGAGGGCGAACTGGGGTCGTGACAAAGATTAAGATGTTTGAATCTAAATACACATCTGAATATTAATATGTATATTAAGATTAAAACATATGAATCTTAATATATATCTGAATATTAAAATGTTGTATTAATATTTGAATGTTGAATCATTAAGACTGTTTGTTTTGTCTACATCTAAATGTGTAAATGTTGTCTTTATTTAAAAATTAATAAGTACAAATTCAAATCAAATAGTACCAATTAATTTTACATTATATTAATATATTTTTTTAAAATTATAGAGTGGTTGGTGGTGATGATGACTAATAGTATGGTTATGGGTGCTGACTGGTAGTAGCTGGTGGTGGTGTTGGTTGATAATGGCAATTATGGGTGGTAGGCGGTGGATGGCAATAGTAGTTAACGATTGTGTTTGATGGTGGTGGCAATTGATAACAGTGATGAGTGATATATAGTGGTAGTTAATAGCAGTGATTGATGATTGTTGTGGTAATGATGACTGTAAATGATGGCTAGTGGTAATGACAAATGACAACCATGCTTGGCAGTGCTGGTGGTTGTGGCCGAGGATGGTGATAATGGGTGGTGGTAGTCTATAATGGTAGAACACCAATAGCAATGGTGATGGTGATTAGTGGTAAAAATATAGGAGTAATAGTGAAATATCTATTTTACAAAAATTCTTGAATATATAACATCTTTAAAATATTAAGATTCTATTATAAGTCTTAATCATTAGTATTTATTCAGACTTATTAAATGATCGTAAAATTGAAAAAACAAATAGTCTTAATGGTTGATTAAGATTCATATCTGAAAAACAAACGCGCTTAATTACGAGAGCTGAATATAGTGTTGCATCAGTAGTAAATAAGCACGTCATTTGAAGATTCTGACTATTCCGTAGCAAAATGTAAAAAAATTGGTTGCTTAATTACATAGTTACAGCAATGAGAACATTCTACTCATGCATATAGAAAACACGAAATCATACATCTTTTCTCTCCAATCCTATTCTTCATCTAATAAATGAAAGGATAGAAACTGCGAGTTAATCACCGAAAGTTTTTATTTAAGAAAACAAAAAAAACAAAAAATAGAAACCTTGTACTTTAGCAGGCCAACTTTCAAGCTGGGAATAAAAGGTAGGGAGCAATCCATATTGATTCTTCAATCGAAGAACCAAAAAATAATTTGAACCCATATTATATTTAAATTTTGTTGTAAATCAGTCGAGCTTCCATTATATCTTTTTATCGCGTCTTTATTCCTTGGTTATCTTTAAGGCTAATGGTTTCTTAAACTTGTACCGAATTTTAAAGCCGATATACAAATTTACATTATTTTCATTTGAACAGTTAAACTTACATATCCGTTAACTAATAAATCTATTTGATCGTTGACCATGCACATGTGGCAATGACAGAGATGATGTGGACAAAGTGTGTGCAAGTCACGAAAATTACGCGTGTGACTACAATAATTTTGATTTAAAAAAATCTAGAATAAAAAAAATACAAATTAAAAAGATAAAAAATAAACCAGGCCCACTTCCCCATCCCATTAAAATTCCCTTCACCCTAGTGTTCTTTTCCCCCATTGTCGTCCTCCCCCAAGAAATTTCTCAGACGCAAAGCCTAATCGAAGATGGAAAAGGAAAATAATCTACTTTTATATATTATGTCATGCGCACATGCGAAAGTTTTTACACATAAACAACCAAATTAAAACAACTAAGACTAACATCGCGATCGGGACCAAGCTGCTATGGAAACAAAAGTTTGTTTTCGTTGTTCCATTCAATGAAAGCTCTTATCTTCGTTTCAAAATATTTAAGGAACGTAATAACTTTTTACCCTACTCCTTAATATATAGGTGTTGCTGAATACCAATTGGATGAAAGTGAAAAAGAGAAAATTGCACATGATACCGATGGAAAATATAATATGATTGTGCAGATAGTGATGAGGATTCTAATGGCAAGCAATTCAGTAGCAAACGAAACTTGATTTAGAAATAAGAGAGAGAAAGAACACTGAAGAAAAGGAAAAAAAAACAAAAAATTAAGGAAAGGAATGGAGGTGGGTGAACGGAGAAGAAGGGAGAGGTGGGTGAACATAGGGAAATGTCAGATTTTTTTCTCCCTTTCTTTTTTCCTTTTTTTTTTAATTTGTGACTTTTTTTTGCTTATTTAGTATTTAATAATAGGACCCACAAATAACACATGTCAAGTAATAAATAGTCTAGTATATGACGTGTTGTACATGTCAGCACAATTGATATACACGCACTACTGAATGTATTTATTTGTACTCGGTCGGTCAAGTTTGAGTGTTCAAATGGGAATAATGAAAGTTTGTATATCGATTTTAAAATCCGGTACAAGTTTAAGTGGCCAGAAAGCCATTACGCCTATCTTTAATTAACGTAATCTTTTTTTTCTTTCTCCGATATGATAAGAAATACTCTATATTAGCTTACTGTAGGTTCCAGAAAATATCGATTTTATTTTGGAAAGGGTAAAGAACAAATATATGCTTTCACATCAGAATTTAGATATTTCCATTATCATACTTCAAGTCCGTTATTTCTCTTTTTTATGCATCCCATGAAGCTTTAAAATGGCCTTCAAAATTCAAATCCTTGTAGCTATGCAAGAAATCGCCAATAAATAAACTTTATTCCCTGGAGTTGTGATATAATACTAAAACTTCACAAGCTACGTTTCGTTGGGAGGATAATTTCCGATAGTTTTTCTCTATAGCACTACAAAGGGAAACACAAAGGACGTAAGTAATAGTAGAGCAGAGATATGACTACAGTATTTCTTTTGTTCATCTTTTCTTTTCCCCTTTAAGAAGGTAAAAAGTGGAGGGGGTGAATTAGCTTTTCAAGGAAAAAAAACTCCCATTGCATCATACTTTTTTTAAAAGAAAAAAAAAATACTCGGAACAGAAGAACTTTGACTAAAGAATATTCACTAATTGTCTTTTTGCCAAGTAATGGCCATTCTACAGATGTTGTCAAGCAATTGGAAACTCCAAAATGAGGAACTAGCACTTGTGAGGAGGTTCCCTAATTGCTGAGTATACGTACATAAGACAGTTTACAACAGGTATGGCCAGATTGCAATTAGGTTTCCAATTAAATCACTGCAACCAAGTTATACAACAACATGATCAAGAACATACAGCCCTTAGAATGTGTATAGTTTTACTAGATGCAGAATGTTGGGACACTGGCTGGACGATAAACAAATGGTCTGACTGTGTGGGAATGCCCAGAAGGATGATTATAGCTGAACTTCACACCCGATTTTCCATCTAGTATATGTTTGCAGTGTTCACGGAAGCTGTTAATGGATCTCGCAAGGCATGCATCCCAACGATCACTCTCTGGCATTGTCTCTGCTACTCTGTAAATGCCCCTTGAGTTTGTGAATGCCTGATAATTTAGAACTTCCCCAGATTTAGTTATACAAAGAACAGCAACCTCAGCACCTGCAACAAGAAACAAGATGAACACCCTCAAGTAGTGACACCAAAATATGAATCTATTTGTGTATCTATAGCACATGGTTTTGTAACAGATAATGTTTTATTGATCGTTGACACAGCATCAATGCTCGAAATCACCTTAACCAGCAGAAAATTTAGCCGAGCAAACCTCAAAGTTGCATGTAAATCAGACATAATGCCAGACAATTTATGTCCCGAATTGTCCATTGTAAAGTACAAACAGTTGGTTTTTGGCCTTCTTTGCTCTTATAGTACTAATAAAAATTGTCCTGGAGATATCTCATCTCGAAAGAGAAAAAACAACACCAGAATCTTGAGAAGTAGAGGAGGAAAGGAAAAGCAAACTAACTTAATACCATTATAAGCTAATCTTAAGAAGGGGAGCCTTGGCATAACTGGTAAAGTTGCTGCCATGTGACCAAGATTTCACGACTTCGAGCCGTGGAAACAATCTCTTGCAGAAATGTAGGGTAAGACTGCGTACAATAGACCCCTGTGGTCTGGCCCTTCCCCGGACCCCGCACATAGTGGGAGCTTAGTGCACCGGGCTGCCCTTTTATAAGCTAATCTTAAAGTAGATAATGACAACTGAAAATACTTGGAATTTATCCTTTCCGCTGGGAAAGAGAAGTTTTGTTACTACCTCAAGTTTTGTGATCTTTAATTACTCCTTTAACCTGCCACTATACAAATCAGAGCACATTCTACACAACAAGCTCGAGGTGTTAACAGCAGCACCTAACTATAAAACCCTGCCCATGGAATGAAGTTTCTGGACAAAAAGAGTTTGAAGCAGCACAGCCCATGAATTCTTTTCCACCATGTTCCTGCAGCAGCTAAGTAAGAAGCAACCACGAAGACAATCCTGGTAGAAAACACATGCAACTGCTCAACATTGTATTCTATCACTCAAATGATCTGAGCTACATAAGATAGTCAATCAGCTATGCTGGAGACCAGCTATAAGTCTTTTCTAAAGTGAAATAGCACAGCTATGATAATACAAAAACGTTTCCAATGTATGTATCTGCACAACGATCTAGGATAATGTTCAGAATCTAGATGGTTAACGAGTAGGCTGAGCAGGTTATCCTTGAAACTGTAGATACTTCTGAGAGTCGACTGAGCAGGTTATCCTTGAAACTGTTTGTTAAATTAGATAATGTTCAGAATCTAGATGGTTAACGAGTAGGCTGAGCAGGTTATCCTTGAAACTGTTTGTTAAATTAGATAATGTTCAGAATCTAGATGGTTAACGAGTAGGCTGAGCAGGTTATCCTTGAAACTGTAGATACTTCTGAGAGTCGGTTCGGCCATTCATGTATCCAAAAATATGTGATGTATCAAAATCTTTCAAGCTCTTATCTAATTTAATTATCACCCACCATTTGAGATTAAGGAAACCATAGATATCCAACTGATAGCCGAATAAGGTATTAACAAACATACAAGGATTAGAGCTCTACTAATGGGGTGTCACATCATACATTAAACAGAGGCTAGATGAAATTCTTTCTTTCATGCTTTCTTGAAGAATATTCTCCAAAAGTCATCAAATAGGTATTCCTTACTTCATATGACTCAGTTCAATATCATTATTCTCTAGTGCCCCCATCCTAAGAAAATGGAAAAAATCAGAGCACATAACTTAGCAAAGCCCATAACTAACAAAGAGTAGTTGACAAACCAAACAAGGGATAGCAGCCAGATGGAAGTACAGAAAGTAGCAAGAAAGGCTATAACAGAGACTTCGTATCCATCTTGTGTCTAGTAGAGCAATGACAATCATGTTATTTTTTATGGAAGAATATGTGGGTGACCTCCTATGCCACAAACCTCACCTCACCTGTTCATTACTAAAACTTAGGAATTTTTCAATTAAAAAGAAGGCATGCTCCCCCCCCCCCCGGGGGGGGGGGGGGGGGGGGGGGTGGTTTAGATTCACAATTTCACATTACCATTTGTGTTACTCTCCTAGTAGCGCGGGAAGAAAGAGAGAGCTGCTTAGCCTATATTTCCATGTTAAGCCTGCACCAGCGGATAGATGGAAGCAGGGAAGGACAAAAGAAAAAATTCCCGTTCGTGCTGCAGATAAAGAATCAGATATCAGATAGTACAAATACTTCAGACTTCAAAACTTACTGAAGCTAAAGTAAAATGAGTAATACTATTAAATTTCTCTCCAGTATGCTAGATATCCACCTCCCTTCAAATCTTCATATATTAGGATTCCAGAAGTTGAGTTCTCTAAAATTTGGCCTCGCTATTTACTAGCAAACAGCCCTATGAATCTTCAAACTTACCTTCTTTCTTTCTCTAATTTATTGGAGAATCCAATCCAATAAGACTCAACAAAATGTTTTCTTTCCACTAGCATACTCAATGCTACAGCCAACTCATTTTTAACTTCGTTCGCACAGTCTACCATGCACTTTAAGCTAAAAAGAAGGAAGTTGTCTCCTTCTACCGCCCACCACTCAAATATCACCCTCCACCCCCAAAACCCCCAAACAAAAAGACAAAAGGAAAAAGAAAGGCCTTCATTTCTCCACAAAGAGTTGTTCCACTCTCTGATTTCATTCTCTCTTCTTTTCTTTTTCTCTTTTTCTTTTAATTAATAAAGGCGTCTACTTCCTTACTTAAGATGGTGGCTACCAATTTTTTACCTAACTTGAAAGGTTGGCTCTGTAGTTCGTGAAAAAGGGGGAAACATCAAACATCCCTTACTATGAGAGCATTAAATCTCAACCCGACCAATCTTTCTGATTCTACCACTAGGTCAGGGTCAGCATAGTCATGAACAATCATTTAAATAATTAAAGCATGAATAAAAATTTAAATACACTGCAAATAGCACTAACTATGACCCAAGTAAGGCCAATCATCTCAGGTAAGAACTTAGCCGCGTCGGGTGTTTATACCCGACCAATACACAAATGACACATGTCACTTTATCTAACTAAAATTGCTAGTACTTAACTATAGTTAAGTACCATATATTTTGCACATAACCTTAATTAATTATTAATATAAAAATACCTAACATCTTGCTATTCCACTTTATGTTCTAAACGGAAACGTCAAGTACATCGACAGTACTGTTTTCTACTAATGATGAATATGTGTGGCCTTTTATTTTGATATGCTATGACCACACAAAAGATAAGTGGCTTTAGTTTGTGAAAACAGAAGACATGTATATTCTTTCTTCAAGTCACTATTTCAGTCTAAGATCCTCCAGATTTATGATCATCCTTAGCAAGATCGACAGTACTTTCTGTGCCACAAACCACATACCAAAGGCCCACATTTTTTTCTTCTGATCTAAGTATCATTAGCAGTATAAATATTTAAACCTTCAGAAAGGTTCTTGCCTTTGCATAGCCGCAGTGTAACACATCAAAAAGATTAAACTCATACGAAAGAGCTTGACAAAATTAAACTTGGCTTGCATAATTACACTTTAACTAATCACAAAATGATTATCAAACTTAATCTTGAAAAGAAATATTAAATTTATGTTTTAACGACTTCTCTTTTAAGACAATAAAAGCCTAGGTGAGATTACAAACTGAACTGAAGCTTAGGAGATAACAAACTGAAAAATACCTAAAAAGTTGTTTCCCCATTACACTCTCGGTTGAGTTTTTGGTGCAGAAGGAGAAAAAGACGAATGCACTGCAAACCCTAAAACCATCAAATGTTCCGTTATTATGAGCTTGCTTCTTTTTTTGATTTCTTCATATATTAAAATACGAGTCCTAATAGATCTTAATTAGTTTATCTTGTATGGTTAACTTAACTCAAATCATCCAGAAAGTACTCAAAAAGATATTAATCAAAGATGAACTAATAAAAGCAAACCAGCAGAACACAAGCCCATTACGGAATTTCAGTACTGGATAAGAGTAACACATGAATAGGGGTAAAAAAACGAAAATTAGTAAAGAAAATGGACCTTCTAAAACATGATCTTCAGGACCAATTGAAGAGTCAGCGCACACATCACAAACAACTCTGCCATGGATTTCACCAGTCCATGCTCTTACTCCGTGTATTACTATCATAGTCGTGTAAAGTAGAGTCAATATATTCCTCCACTTTGACTCCATCGCTTAGCTTACTGATTTGATTCCTTCCTTTGAAGCTCATCATATACGGAGTTGGTGTTGGGTGCGGAAGGGACCTCTTTGGGCGACCCGAACCCGGTTTAGCAATATTCCTTTAATATACCTTTCAAAAATCAAGTAGCCCAATAAACACAACAAATCAACCCATAAAAGTCCACCTAACAACTCATAAACCCGCAAAAAGATTGACCCAATCCGCCTGAAACTCCTCACAAGTAACAAAAGATAACCCCGGGATCTGTTATAAATATATTATATTATGGATGTTCATTTAGTACTCCGTTGTAAATAAGCTTCCTGAAGAAGCTTATCCATATGGGACTCCACCGTAAATATGTTTATCTATTTAGTACTATATTGGAAATAAGCTTCCTGAAGAAGCTTATCACTTCGGTACCCGGTTATGGATAAACATTACCCCCGGTAGAAGATTATTCATACCGGATATAATAAGCTTATCCATTCAGTACTCTGTTATGGATAAATATTGCTGTCAGTAGAAGATTATCCATATCTGGTACAGCAGCAGCTTACACAGCAGCTTGTAGTAGCAGCT